GACATAAAGCCAGGAAAAATGAATTATTGACAACTGAAATACAAAATCAACCACTCTGTTGTTCTTCTTCCTTCTTCTTTTGTCGTCTCACTGATACAAGATTGTAGCCCATTGTTGTGGTTTATTCGTCTCACTGATACAAGATCTTGCACTTCTCGGGTAGCTTGAGTGATGGATTTGTTCATCTTTTTGCAGTTTTCATTTGTCAATCTATTTTTTTTTTTGGGTCGTCCCCCTCGCTTTCTTTCCAGATTTTCTGCTGTAAAAAATCTCATGCAGTTTGGTTTAGCTGCATTCTCACTAGATGGCTGAACCATTTTGTTCTTTGTCTGTCAGTATAATCCAGACAGTCTTATTCCAACTTTCTATCTAATGTTGCTGTTCGTAACCCTGTCCCTTCTTGTGTTGTTAGGAACTTTATGGAGTCAGCACTTCATCGTTCATCCGAGTGATGTAGTTGTGGTGTGCCGATTTACAGCATAGCTGCAATATTTGCAACATTTTGGCCAACACATCTAACTTCTTTGGGAATTTGTTCACCGGATCAGCCTTCCTTCAACCTCATATCTAAAAACAGATGAGTGCATGGAGCTGTTGAAAGCCTGATCGCCTTCGTAGGAGCAGTTGAGAATCCTACAGCACCTGCTAGTTAGGAAACAGGAAACAAGCTGGTTCATTGTGGTGGAGCCAAAAAGGGAGCTTTGAAGAGAAGAAACCAACCGAGTCCTAAAACATGGTGGGCTAAAGTTGGATATAGGGGAGGTGGGGGGGGGGGGGGGGGGGGCGCTAAAATGTATAAATATAAAATATTTGTTGTAAACTGAACAGGATCTTCTTCTTCTTCTTTTATCCTTCTGTCAGAAAACTTATAGCCGGAGGTGGGTAGCCTTTATGAAAGCTATCGTGTGGTCCATATCTCCTGGTGTACCATACAGCTTTGTCTTCATTGGTTAGAACAGGCCACAGAGTGTACCAGTTCCCATCGCAACCTTGTTATTCTAACTCCATTACTCAACTACTTTACTGTATTGCCGCTATATTATTTGCAGGCTAACATTACTAATGTTGTTTGCCAGTCTCACACATCTGTTGCAGATTTTACATTTGGTGTATTCCTTCTTCTGTCCGTCCACGATTTATATTTCACAGACATAACATAGCTGTTTCTTGTAAATTGCTGTTTTCTAAACTGCTGTTGTCTAAGCTGCTGTTTTCTAAACTGTTGTTTTGCATTTTGAACTTTTCCTTCTCCAGTCCGTCCACTATTGTGTTTTGAATTATTCTGTATTTTATGTTTAAAAATGTATTATCATATACCATAACATATACTTTTTGTTGTACGTATACTTTTTTGTGGTTAGAAGAAAAAGCAGTTGAATTACTTGAAGTCTTGTTATTATTTTGTTTAGGTGCATTATGGTAGAAACAATTGTTTATGTTGTAGTTTTTGTTATAAATAGATATACTGATAAAAATAAATATATTCTTGCCGAAGTCACAAACAAGACGATGCATCCAAGGTTTGCTTGTGGAGGAAGACATATGGACGGTGCAGACGTACTCAGAGCACTGCATTCTAGAGACTTTGGCATGAAAGAGGCAGAGACAGTGAACCATCTGTTGAAAATGTGTATGAAACAAGGACAAGCATGTAGAAACAGTTGAGTTGACTTAAGAACCGACATCACAGCACTAGGGGCATTTCCATAAGCACTCCGTACCCATCTTCAGCAGCCAGTAAAGAGTTCTGATACTAATAGTGCCAGTAGCATTCTGATTAAACGTCCATCTTGCCTTTCTTTTAAGCCTCGAGCATCTGCCAGAACCTCTCGTCAGTCCCCCCTGCATCAACCTCACCAGACTGGTTATCCATACGCCCCTCTGAAAAAGTACATGCTCTACCACAAGGCACTAACCACGTCTGCCTTATCATGCATCAGTATTCCACCAAGTTGTGCAGAGCCAGCCAGTCTGCCGCCTGTTCATTTCCCAACACACCGGTGTGTCCCTGTGAAAAAATCCAAACAATACTCCTCACACATGTCCTCTGCAGTGAAGCACGCCACTCTGCATGAAACATGCTGTCCTGACCTTCCTCAGAAGTTTGTGAGGCAAAGAAAGAAGATAGGTCTATCAGCTCCTTGAGCATGGAGACAAAGCTGGCTGCTGCATTAGAGGACAGAGCAAGTATGGGTCAGACTGATGTGTTAGGATGTCGATATAGACAAGTAACAAGTTGTTATAGAGCCTGTTGATTCAAGTTGTTGACATTGCACTACTTGAAGAATTAGGTATCTGCTTCCAGCCCAGTGTCCAGGCAACACACAGACTCTCACTGTAGGCCTGAGATCTCCAGGCAGTGGAAACTTGGGTGGCAGGGTAGGTAGATGGACAGAGAGAGAGAAGACTGGGTCAGCACATAGGTAGACACAGGCAGGTAGATAGATAGATAGATAGATAGATAGATAGATAGATAGATAGATAGATAGATAGATAGATAGATAGATAGATAGATAGATAGATAGATAGATAGATAGATAGATAGATAGATAGATAGATAGATAGATAGATAGATAGATAGATAGATAGATAGATAGATAGATAGATAGATAGATAGATAGATAGATAGATAGATAGATAGATAGATAGATAGATAGATAGATAGATAGATAGATAGATAGATAGATAGACAGATAGATAGATAGACAGATAGACAGATAGACAGATAGACAGATAGATAGATAGATAGATAGATAGATAGATAGATAGATAGATAGATAGATAGATAGATAGATAGATAGATAGATAGATAGATAGACAGATAGACAGATAGACAGATAGATAGATAGATAGATAGATAGATAGATAGATAGATAGATAGATAGATAGATAGATAGATAGGTAGATAGATCAGATAAATAGTGATATAGATAGATAGTGAGATAAATAGTGAGATGGGTGGGTAGGTAGGTAGGTTTGAAAACTATTTTCAGTATTAAGCCTGGCAAGCACATCTAGAAATTATTCACATTCTTTATTTCATAGGACAAAATAATATTGAGTATAATATTTCAACAGAACTATAAAAATCTTCAACCACTTTGTAAAATACCATATGTGGGTAGTGAGCAAGCATATGGTTTGTTTGTTTGTTTTAGTATCCAGAAGCCATGAGTTGTTAACCCTTAGTCTCAGTATTATGGATATCGCAACCTTTCGGCCTTGATTCCATTGTAAATACCGTAAATCTGAGAGAAATGTGGCTTTTTTTGCCTACTCCCGGGATTGAACCCGGACCACAAGGAGTTCGTCACCCGGTCTTCGTGCAATCCGGTTTAGCCAACTACGCTAGAGAGCCGGGCAAAGCAAGCATATGGAAGAAGCACAATCAAAGCTGCCCTGTAAAGTCGTGGGATGTCAAAACTGATAGCCTAATGTAAGATGACACCTACTCCTATCGGAGATGTGTTTTCAAGAAGAATGCACAGGACTGATGAAAAACAAACACAGTGGTCCCCCTTGGGACATATAAAAACTTACAGTTATTAGAGAAATTAGACCTAGAGTTTTAATGTTATGAGAAGGAAGGAACTCGTGGTCTTCGTTACAACTCAGCAGGGCACATGATGATGGTGAAATTAAGTTTGAACATCAACATCTTTTTTGCTTAGCTGTCACCAGGTTTCACCTCTGGCGGAAGGTTCTGGCTGTTCATCCACTTCTAGACTTTAGTCCAGTTCCAGAACTTGAGTTTTGCATGCAAATTTGTTTCACAAATCTAGCTCATTTAAATTCAGATTATTGGTTCCTTGCCATCGTAAGCACACTCCACTCCACTTTGAAGAAAACATCCCTGATTAGTTGCCTTGTGTGACCTGCTAGTTAGTGGGGCAGTGGCTCTTTGTCCCTGAGAATAAGAACCTGAAACCCACACTGGCAAGACAGGGACATAAAGATGATGATTGGAGCTTTTCGTCCTCTTTAAAATGACCTTTTTCAACATTTTGTTAACCTGAAACCTATCCTTATAGTTCACTGAAACTCTACTGTAAGAAACTAGTTTTTAAAAGGGTAGGAAATTATAGGGAAGAGATGAAAAGGGGTAAGAAAGAACAAATAGTTTATGTCAGCTTTACAGAGTCAATCACGATGAACAAAGGATGTTGCAGCGATTAGCCTTCATCAGCACATAAAAAACAACACAGCACACATACACACATATGCACCTGCTATGAACTAACTACACAGGACTTTAATGTACTAAATAAATGATCCTCAACTGTTTCACTGACGAAAAACTTCGTTCAAGAGGATGAACAGAGCAGGTATTAACCAATATATCGCCACCAGGCGTAAGGAAAGAGAAAACTAGGTTGGTATACCTGGGTGAGGGGAGGAGTTAACGCCAACAGACAAGAAACTAGAGGGAAAGAAGAACAAGCAGAAGCAATTTGTTGTCTTGGGCAGTTTTTATAAACATCCAGGTGGTCGAACCCCTAGACCATCAGACAGACAGACAGACAAGTGTGAACTCACTAGAATAATTCATATTAATTGTTATAATTTTTTTGTACACAATTTTTTTTGGTCCTTAAGCTAAATACAGAGCAGAGACTGAACTGCATTCCCTTTGAGCATAATATATGTAGTTTTGTTGCATATAGCCACATGTTCTCAAGGAGCCCCCCCACTCAAGGCTGGGTCAACCAGAGAGTCAAGGTCATTTTTTTAAAGTGCGGCTCTACCAGGGAGCGAACCCACGACCTTCTGATCCACACGTGAGCGTCTAGCCGCTAGGCCTTGACGACTCTCTGCTGGTATAATTCATTCAAAAAGCTTTAAAAATAACTATGCTATGGATACAACATAATTTGTATGATTTCTGGTATATTTATATATATATATATATATACAATATATATGTAAATAAAATATATAGATGAAAAATGTGCATCTATGAATTCAAGGATCTGCGAACAGGGCAGCAAATTGTTTCTTCATCACATTACAAGCACACCTCTCGGGGGCTGAATAACTGAAGCTTTACTCAGCTTGATCTTCTTTGCTGATGGAGCAAATACTTTCTCTTCTGACGATGAACTGGTCACCACGGCATCCATAATGTCTGCTTGCCAGTGAGGTGATTCTAAGTACACATCCTGAGTAGCTCCGACTGCAAGGTAAGATGTGGGATCTAGTATATGCTCATCACACGTGCTGGGGACTGTCGTCGCAAAAGTAACTTTTTTCCTCTTCTGTAAATGCTTGCTGCTAAGTTTTGGGTTATCTGTTCCTGATAAGACAATGGGAACAGCTGAGGGAAAGTGGTTGGATGAGGACAAGTCAACAGTCTGACTGGCTCCACCGCATGAGTCGTCATTATCTTCACGGTAATCATTTTCAGTGGTGCTTCTTTCACAGATGGGTTGAAGAATTGTTTCGGATGCTACACTGCTTTTGCTTAAAGCACACTTTTGAATGTGGTCCATACTTTTCACCACATACTCTAGCAACTTAATCTGTTCCTCCAGACGACATTTGTCATGCAGGAGTTGCATCTGAGCATCTTGCAGCTCTGAGTGTTTCTGAAACAGATCATCAAATAGTTATGAGTTAGATTATCTTCACAGCACTCCAGACACATCCATAGGTGCTCAGATTCCCCTCTCAACATATTCATCAGTGTTGTGCGGTTAATAGTACCAGTCCTATGTTGGTTAACAAGACTTCCTGTGCGACCAGTGTACTTCTCACGCTTGGCTGTGCCGATCTTTACTTCCAATTCGCGTATTCTTAGCAGTGATGTGGACACGTTGCTTCCAAACTCCAAATAGTACAGCGGTGAATGCACAAGTAATACACTTCCATGATGCTGATACTACTCTGTAGTCACAGCTGGATTTAGACTGGATGAGGCCCTAATCTGTATAAAGCCCTGAGGCCCTACCATTTTAAGTTAAACTGTACTAGCTAATCTCATAAAACTTAAAAATACATGGATAATAGAAATATTTTGTCATTTAATTTTTATTTAAAAAAATAATGTTTGCAAAGTCACATTAATTATATTAGATAATCCTATACAATTTTCTATGTTAGAAGATATTCAGGTCATAAAGAATGTCGGTATTCTTCCTCTTCTTGATGTACCATCCTTTGCTTCTTCGTGTTCGTCGGCTGTCAGAAAGTTTACAATATTTTTGTTCTCAAATGCATAATAGTTATGTCCTCAAAAGATATGTTGCTGTCTGTACACATGAAGCCAAGTGATTTTATACATTTCTTTATGTTAAATCAGGCTTATTCTGATTGACATACTCCGCAGAGTGCCTCAGTTCTTTTATGAGGTTCATACCCACATTGTTCAAATATATGTTTAAATACATGAAAATAAATTTGCATTTAAAATATTTTGACAGAAAATTGCGCTTTCAAAAAATAAGAAAAAATGACTTTTTTCAGAAGGACCTGTATATTGTGAGGCCTTAAGCTGCAGCCTATTTCTTCTTCTGTCCTTCTGTCTTTCTAACCCCTGTGGAGCATAAGCCCTCGACCATTTCACTCCAAGTTGTTCTGTCCTTTGCTATCGCATGTAGCTCCCCCCACCCTCCCCCTTCATGTCCTCCATTTCTTTTTTAACTTCACTCTCCAGCTCCGTTCTCCATGTGTGTGTTTTTGAGCTGAAACCTAAATCCATAATAGACTATTCTCTGGGGGTTTTTTTTGTCTGTATGTTTCGAATAAATCCACGTTTCGATTAATCCACGGATTTGATCTTTAGTCTCTCTCTCTCTCTCTCTCTCTCTCTCTCTCTCTCTCTCTCTCTCTTGATTGCATGAAAAGGGTAAGCAAACACAGGAAGTTGATCGCATGAAGAAGGTAAGTGAACACAGGAAGTTGACCACATGAAGAAGGTAAGTGAACAGGAAAGTGATTGTATAAAGAAGGTAAGTGAACACAGGAAGTTGATCGCATGAAGAAGGTAAGTGAACACAGGAAGTTGACCGCATGAAGAAGGTAAGTGAACAGGAAATGATCGCATGAAGAAGGTAAGTGAACCTAGGAAGTTGATCGCATGAAGAAGGTAAGTGAACACAGAAAGTTGACCGCATGAAGAAGGTAAGTGAACAGGAAAATGATTGCATGAAGAAGGTAAGTGAACACAGGAAGTTGACCTCATGAAGAAGGTAAGTGAACACAGGAAGCTGACCGCATGAAGAAAGTAAGTGAACAGGAAAATGATTGCATGAAGAAGGTAAGTGAACCTAGGAAGTTGATCGCAGTAAGATGGTAAGTGAACACAGGAAACTGACCGCATGAAGAAGGTAAGTGAACACAGGAAGTTGACCACATGAAAAAGGTAAGTGAACACAGGAAGTTGACCGCATGAAGAAGGGAAGTGAACCTAGGAAGTTGATCGCATGAAGAAGGTAAGTGAACACAGGAAGTTGACCGCATGAAGAAGGTAAGTGAACAGGATACCTAATTTAAAAAAAAATAGACAATACACAGACATCAGACAAAACTAACCATCTGTAAGAGTTCTCGTTCCTGTTTCTTGGCTTCATATGACCTCTGCGCGGCCTTGACATTCTGAGTTCTTCGTTTTTCCTGTTTATCCTCCATGACAGCACTGCAAGCACAAACCAAGAATGAGAGTTACTGCTTTATAACGTATTGCTGTTAACAACGAACCTTTTCTGTTTAAAAAAAAAGGTGATGGTAATCAACGCAAAATGTATTTTAATAGGTGTCATTACTAATCACAGTGTTGATTGCAACCTATCTGTCTTCTCTTACCCCACCAGCATCACACAAGCGATAAACACCCAATGACACAAAGTGCCACCATGTGGATGAGGATCACCCGTAGAGAGGTCCCAGAAACGGCGTTCAGCCATTAGACCATATTTATGGTCGGTCTATATTGCGGCCACTGACAAGAGCCAGAGTTGGACTTCAAATAACGAAAAATTGCATCACCCAAAGGGACGACAAAATTATCTATTGCAGAAACAAAATTTGCCTTAAAAGGGTGTCGGTTCTTCGTGCCGCCAGAAAACAGCCGTGTATATATGCCTGATGCAAGACATTCACACACAGAGACGCACATAGACAACTTTTTCGTGAGGGGAAAGGGGGGGGAGGGTGCCAGTACCCACCACAAGTGTGTCTATTATAGTAGCACTGAAAAAAAAGTGCTTAAAGTAAAAAGGTATGGTACTGTCTACCGACAGTGGTTTATTTAGTTTTCATAGAAAAAAATGAACAGATCTCACGGTAAGGAGAGTCGGCACAGAACCAGTACTGGACTGTATCGGTAGACAACAGATCAAATGGTTTAGCCATTATCGGATTTTATCGGTAGACAACAGATCAAATGGTGTGGCTAATATCGAATTTCATCGATAGACATCAGATTAAGTGGTTTTGCCATTATCGAATTTTAGCGGTAGACAGCAGATCAAATGGTATGGCTAATATCGAATTTTATCGATAGACAACAGATCAAATGGTTTTGCTGTGTAACAAGATTGGCATAAAAGAGGGCAAAACAAAGAGCAGTCTTATACGGATTCATCAGTAATAGACCAGAGGTCAGCCGCGCAAAATATGCATTACGGAACTATCGGAGACACTGAAAAGTTAGTTAGTTAGTTAGTTAGTTAGTTGGGTTATCCTCATTGCACTCCGGACATGTCCATAGGTGCTCAGATCCTCCCCTCAGTATGAACCCCAACGTCCGATGGCTAATAGTACCAGTTCTATGTTGATTAACAAGTCTTCTGGCGTAGCTGGTGTGCGTCTCGTTTTTTGCTGTGCCGATCTTAATTCCCAAGTCTGCCATTCTGGCGAGTGATGTGGATTCACTGCCACCAAAGTCCTCTATTCTTCCCATTTCTCTGAGGGCATTGATAATATCAGCATGATCCATAGGCTGACCGTCGGTAGTGATAGCGGATCCAGCCAACCTGTCAGCTCTTTCATTTCCATCGACGCCTGCGTGTCCCGGAACAAAAATAAAGGTGACTCCACGAACAGTGGACTTCTGTAATGATTCAAGCCATTGTCTTCGCACTGAACCTGCCTGAACCCTCCGGATCATACTCATTGAATCACTGAGTATACACACGCGGTTGTATTTTTGTGTTTCAAGCCAGGCAAGCGCTTGTGTCACTGCCATCACCTCCATCGTCATGCTGCTGGTTGTCATGGAGAAGGCGCCGTTGGCTTCTTTGACTGTTCTGCCCGCTGAGCGTGCTGTAAATGCCCATGCGCTTCTTCTTTGGCGTATACTGAAAAGTACAATGTACTAAACGAACAGAAAGGCCGGTTCCAGAGTTCTCTTTCTGCGCTGACGCTACGAGGCATTCCTGGTCATTCCTTGAGTAGAGCAGACAGTCTACCGTTGCGTACCGCCAGAAACCCTGCTGTCAACAATAAGGGTCATGCTGTTAACTATAAGGGGTCATGCTGTTAGCTAAAAGGGGTCGTGCTGTTAACTATAAGCTCGTTTTAGGTCAATTTCAGGTCAAGATTGACCTGACAGTACCTCCTTCGAAACCACCAAGTCGTCTTGTCTCTGGCCGAAAGTATAACACCATCCGGTAATTCTGTGCGGCGGGGAAGCAGCCCTGAGCTTCATGAACTCAGGTGGGCCCACCTCCGAATACGTTTAGGAATCGTGGGCCGAAACGTGTGTCGAAAGAGGATAATTTCTACTGATGACTGTAGATCCCCGCTGTACTTGCTCCCTGTGAGTTTATTCTTATTGTACGTGGCTAGCCCACAAGACTACCAGGAAAGACTGGTGACTATCGGGAAAGACCTTTTGACACCTATGGAAAGACTGGCCCCCCGGTATCGCCGGGGGGATAAACTGACATCTGGAGACAGATGTCGACTGTGGACCGGGTTGATCACCCCTAACACAGTATAATACCTCCGATTGCGTTAAACCACAATGAAATATGCCCCCAGGGCCCTCCGAAAGGGGGGGAGAATGAAGGGCCCAATCTGATTGATACCCTCGTTGACGACCTTGCTAGCCCCGGACTGAGACACTCGCCCAACGTCCGGGCTGGCTCTGTACATGTGGGAAAAGCTTCACGGGGTTGCATGGTCTGAGAACGCATGCCGGAAGAATGAAATGCGAGGGTGCTCCACGCAGTAAACGCCGTCGCAAAACTACTACTCCTGTGGTAGCTTCTGAGTCGTTAGGGAACGACGGGCAGGGGGAACCCCACTCGCCCGGAGAGGCCCATGACGTCGACTGCGGAGGAGCACCTTTGATGATTTCTGAAGAAGTGCGTTCCAGAATCAGGTTTCCACCTGCGAGCGAGAAGGTGGTGTGGTGTAAGTTGGAGGTTACATTATGTGAGGTACTTAAACAAACTCTAAACAAGAAGCCGCTAGGCGACAAGCTTACAAAATTTGGTGATGTAATATATGAACACTGCTCCCGCGAGTTCGGGACAGTAGTAAAGGCACAGCCGGGTGCCAAGCAGAATATTAGCAGAAGGCAAAGGGACATTCTGAAGTGTCGGGCAGACAAGAATGCCCTCAGAAAACGGTTCAAAGCCGCTACGGGCAGCGAACGGGAGGGGCTGTACGAAGTGTGGGTGCACTTAAAGAACAAACACAGTGCCCTCTGTCGCGCCGAGCGTTTCTGTAACAACAGACGTAGAACCAAAAGGGAGCGAGAGAAATTCTTTAGGGACCCGTATCAGTTTGCCCGAGGTCTATTCGAGCAACCGAAGTCTGGGACTCTGGTTGTCAGTCAGAAAGAACTTGAGCTACATCTAAGCAAGATGTACTCTGATAAGAAGAGGAGAGAGCCTCTTGATGACAATCCAGAGATCCTTAGCGGACTCAAACAGCCTTCGGTGCCGAAGGTACCATTTAAAATGGTACCTCCCCTTTGGTCTGAGGTTGAGGACGTTGTGAAAAAGGCCAGCGGCAAGTCTGCCCCAGGTCCGAACGGTGTCCCGTACGTTCTTTACAAGCGTTGCCCGAAAATCCTAAAAATGCTTCACGTCTTGTTGAGACAAGCGTGGATCCGCAATCACATATGTCCAGAGTGGTCAAAGGCAAATGGGGTCTACATTCCCAAAGAGCAGGACTCGAAGAGTCTTTCCCAATTCAGGCCCATCTGGCTGTTGAATGTTGAGGGTAAGATATTCTTCTCAGTCATGGCTCGCCAGCTCACACAGTATCTGATGACTAACAAGTACATAGATACGAGTGTTCAGAAGGGTGGTATTCCAGGCGTTCCTGGGTGCCTTGAACACGCGACCATGATATGGGAGGCTATCCAGAGAGCCAAGCATGAGAGAACCGATTTGCACGTTATATGGTTGGACTTAGCCAACGCCTACGGGGCAGTCCCCCATAGGCTACTGTGGCGAGCCCTTCGCATGTTTCACGTACCGACACAGATCAGTCAAATGGTCGAGCAATATTTCTCCAAGTTCGCTTTGCGCTTCTCTACCTCGACGTTTACCACGAGGTGGACTGAGTTGCAGATTGGGATAGCTATGGGGTGTACGATCTCACCTATACTGTTTGTCATGGCAATGCAGATCGTGTTAGACGGGGCGGCCGGCTACGGACTGGGCCTTCAAATAGGGGATCACTGGTTACCGCCACTGCGCGCATTTATGGATGACACGACTATTATAACGGGCAGCGAGGAGTTTGCCCGCACGATCCTGAAAAGATTGGACGCGGTGGTCCAATGGAGCGGTATGCAGTTCAAACCGCAGAAGTCAAGGAGTCTGTCAATCCATAAGGGCAAGGTGTCGGCGACCAGTTTTACGGTGGCAAGGAACAAGATCCCTACGGTTCTGGAGGAACCGGTGAAGAGTCTCGGTCGCGTTTACGATTCGAAGTTATCTGACAGAGCGGAGGTCCGGCGAATACACGAGTCACTGGCTACAGGCCTGCTCGCGATCGAGCGATGCAGGCTGATCGGAAAATTCAAGGTATGGTGTCTCCAATTCATGTTGATTCCGAAGCTTCTATGGCCACTGCTAGTCTACGAGGTGACAATGACTGCAGTGGAAACCATGGAAAAGAAAATCAATACAGCCTTAAGAAAGTGGATTGGTGCACCGCCTTGTCTGACCGACGTGGCTCTGTATTGTAAACAGGCTAAGCTGGTACTTCCGTTCAAGTCAATAACCGAAGAGTTTAAAGTCGGCAAAGTTAGGCTCGCCATGCTTTTGCGCGAGTCCTCAGACCCAAATGTCATCGCTGTCCAGCCCGCTCTAAAGACTGGTCAGAAGTGGAGAGTCCTCGATGCGATTGAATCTGCTCAGAACGCACTAAAATTGAAGGAGGTAATGGGTTACACACAAACCGACCGTCGAGGCCTAGGGCACGGGAAAGTCAATTGGTGGTCAAAGGCCTCAGCCAAAGAGCGCCGAGACATGGTGATACAAACGGTGAGGGACAACGAAAACGAGGTTCGGGTCCAGAAAGCAGCCCAACAGTCGCAGCAGGGCCATTGGGTCAGCCTGGAGAGCGCATTGCCGAGAATACTCACATGGGGTGAGATCTGGCGGATGACCCCGCTGCGACTGAGCTTTATCGTTCGTTCGGCGTACGATGTATTACCGTCCGGT